AGGGAGGTCCAATATTATGCATTTTATATGTTTAAAAGGGGTATTACCCTTATGTACTTTTATTACATTCATAAACCTTACAGTACCTTATACAAAGTTATACTACTTTATCAGAAATCGAGGTCCGATAATATGTAAATTACTTTTTTTACTTTTTTCACACTATTATAATGTAATATAACCTTTTAGACTTTTTCCCGATGCGGGAGATGTATCATTTTCCCTACCATGCCCGCCATCTATATACGTACATTAAAATCAGTACCGGCATTTCTATGGTTTCATGTGAAGCACCTTTTCAGGAGAAGATTTAGTAAATCGGGAAAGAATATAGAGTCTCTCGATGACGATCCTGAGTATAGAAAAATATTGCAACTTCGCAAGATATGTTCATTGTCTCACGATTCACACAGCCAGGAGGTCTGACCATGCTATAGTTCATCATGGAGGAGTCCACAAAGTACGTTGTTAATTATTTACTATGTGCCACGTGCTCTGACCTATGGTAAGATATACTATTGAAGATTTACAGTAGGTTAGCAGCTTGCTGAAGCCAGTATCGCCAAATGTAAGAAAGATACCTGTAATAATACCGATGGACATCTGTGACGAAGCTGCTAGGAAGCTCATAGAGGGGCTGGGTGGGGAAAAGATGGCGCGACAACTCGTTGGAGGAACTATCTGGTGGCAGGTGCGCAGTACCAACGGGTCAGTTATCTTAAGTGGATTTGCGCGTTGCGTATTTTACAGTAATTCCATGCGATGATTAGCATCAACGCTCAATGGATCGTAAATAATGGGGAAGAGGTTCAACAGCGCAAAGGATTGAGTTTATCTAGACGTCTCCAGCAAAAAGCGCCAGTCAGAGATTCAGAATATGACTCTGATTCGAACAAATTACCGTGCTTACTGTTCTTTCACGGAGGTAAGCGGTTGATTCTTCTCCTTCCTCCCCGACATTAAGCGACAATTCAGGAGGCTATTTCTCTGGAAGTGTTGACCAAGTCAGGTAAGCAGCACATATCTCATGAGCCCATCGTAAATATTGACATTATGTAGGTTCGCAATTGAAGTCATGGCCCTGATGCCTGCTATCCGAATCTTTGCTGTATCATACCGACTTGCCCCTCAATACCCTTTCCCTTGTGCAATTCAAGATGCTCTGGCATCATGTACGTTTGTACATGTTTCCAGCCGTAACGTCTTCTCATGCACAATAATTAGATTTGTACTTGATCAATCCACCGTTCGACGTGAAGCATGCTGTTGATCCGAAGCAACTTATCATTTCTGGGGATTCTGCAGGAGGTGGCCTCGCTCTTGCGCTATTCCAGATTATCCGAGACAATAATCTGCCTAAGCCCGCCGGAGGCATCCTTATTTCACCCTGGTGTGACCTTACACACTCATTCCCTAGTACTATTCATACCAACACAAAGACAGACTTTATTCCCAAGTATGGCCTTTCAATTTACAGGCCTTCTTTCTTGTGGCCACCTCCATCTGACGAACATGCAGTTAAGGCGCATTCAAAGATTCGCTCGCACGTTAACCAGGCATGAGATCGAAAGAGACGTGCTTCCTCTACCAGTCACGAGAATCGGGATTCTCGGCGCGATCCTACGAGTCGTAGCTATCTGGATTCGTCGTCGTCACCAAGACGAGGTGAAGGTGAAGAGGCAACGGATCGCATGCCGTCGGCGCCTATTCCAAGGACTGCCGAAAGAATTGATAAAACGTTGCGAGCGAAGACAGAGGACGGAGGAGTCTTGGAACTGAAAGAACAAATGCACATATATGCGCCGAATAATCTTCTCGTACATCCGCTCGTGAGCCCGGCTTTGTCGTACCTCGGCGGGCTTCCTCCACTATTCGTATTCGCAGGCGACGGTGAAGTTCTGCGAGACGAAATCATTTACACGTCAGTACCAGAGTTGCTAGAGTTTTGAGCCGTATTTACTGACCGCCGCCTCCTAAGCGCTCACAAAGCTGCCTACCCCAAACATTATCCGGTACATCCAGGAGCAAAAAAGATGTATCCTAAGCTTGAAGGTATTGAGAATCGTTATGAACCGACCTGTATTCATCTTCAGGTGTATGACAGTCAGTTCTTCGTCCTTGCCACACAATTGTGTTTTCAACAGCATGAGTAACCACTATTTTCCAGATGCACCTCATGTTTTTCCTATCTTATGCTTCTCCTGCGATGCCAGTCAAGCTTGTTTTAGATCTATACGGACGTTCATTAAGAAAGTGATTGTTCCAATAGAAAAGGGAAGTACTTCAGACAATCAGTCCTCACGCAGAGAGCAAGGAATCGAACAGACTGGTTCTGTTTCGAACAATGCGACTGGAGGCAACGAGCTCTCTGCCCAAACAACTAAAGCAAATACATACGAAAGTAGCGCCTCCTCATGTGGAGAACCTGACCAGCGTGCGTTACTTGCATGTAGCGGCAGGCTGTACAATCGGCCTGTAGAGGGAGAGACTTCTCCATTCATGCAAGACACTATGATAAGGGTTAGAGTGTCTGCAAGGGGAGAGGTCAGACACCTTGAACAACAAAGCGAGCTGAATGCATGCACCATGCCCCCTGAGGATATTGGAGTAGCAAATGAACGTGTGCTACGCCGGTATACAGAAGGAAACGTGAAATGGAGGAACCGATTTTCCAAAACAGACAAGAGAATTCACAAGAGACGTGAGGAGAAATTAGAATATGCAAAGATTCTTCCTTCAGGCAAACGCCGGGTCAAATCCAGGAGGAAGAATGCTGACAGTGCATCTGATACAGCAAGTACTTCTCATCTAGAGCATATCTCACAATCGTCAAACATGAACTGGGCCTGGGCTGTCAAGGATGATGAGCATCCGCCTCCGAGTAGCATCGTTGCGCGGCTTGATACGAAGGAGGCATGTCGGATTGCCAGGATAGTGGATAAACCAGGTATGGGTCCATACAGAACCAAACTTTGGCCGAGAGCCGTTTGTGAAGCCAAGCGTAACAAAGAAAGGTCAGAAAGCGATAAGCACCAGGCCGAATCCGACGATAGGCAAAGGCGTTCGTCGCATGTTTCTGAGAACGAACCAGCACAGCTTGTGTCGTATGGCCCATTGATATTAGATAGGGCGATGAGAATGTTCAGGTTTTCATCATCTCGATTCTCGAAGCAAAGAAATCCTAACCAATCATCTGTGACTCATTGAAGAAAGATTGCCTGATAAGTATATTGTCGCAATACTTACCGATTCCTACGTTATCCCCTCGTACTTTGCGGCTTTGCGTTTATGGGGTGTATGCATCCACATCATCTTGATATTCATAAAATTAGTTTTAGATTCTCAGATCCTTACGCAAGTTTACATGTACGCGCTCAGAGCTTTACTGTCGTTTTCATAAATATTGTCACACGCGCGATTCGTGATTTTCGTCACACTAAGTACACTCAAATACAAAATCTACTATAATTCAACTAATACTTAACTAAATTACATGATCTAAGTTGTAAAAATTATACTTTTGAAGTATCTTTCATATTCCAGAAAAAATGAAGTAAAATGAGCAAAAATTGAGTAAGATACAACACAATATGTGAGTTTTCCCTATATTTCATGTATATGAGTTTTCCTAGCCCTAAAACTGATTGTACAATACTATAAACTAGTCTAAATGAAGAATATAACTTTATTATTAATTTACATATTGAATTCTAACTAGGATACAGAATACACATATAAGTATAATACATATTTAAGTTTGCTAAAATTGAGCATT